GTACACAGTAGGTGCCCGATATGTGTGAGTTGGAATAAATGAGCGATGGAGACACTTTGTGTGTTTTTTTAAGTGTTAGCAGTTACCCTAGTTTCCTGGCGGTACTCTCCGTAGCGTTTAAAAAATTTTTATAAATGTAATTATGAGAGAGTCGAGGTTAATGGCCCTCAGCTCAGTCAGCTCCTGGCTCACATGTTTTTGTCCCTTTTTTGCTGCGTGACGTTGAAGAAGTGACTATCTCCCTGTCTCCATTTCCACGTCTCTAAAATACTGGAAATAGGCCGACTACGAAGGGTCATGAGGGATGAGTTAGACAGGAAGTAGTAGGTAAGTGCCGCTCACTGATGGTGACTGTGTGAAATAAAAATTGTAAATTCTACATGGGAACACGTTAAGGTTGCCCCAACAGAGCAGTAAATCTCTAATTTGGGCACTGGTCATCTACAGCCCTCCCCACCCCAACGGTAAGGTGGAGCCTTAAGGGAAACAGCAGCCTGCACACTTGGACCTTATTTTTGTGTGATCTGCCCCAAGTGCTTGAGCTCTGCTATTTTGAGTCTTAACTGGGTGGTGAGCAGGTTTCTAATCAGAACTGGCCACGGGGGGAGGGACCTTAAGTGTCTGCCATGTAGAGCCCCTTTGTTTACAGTGTAGAAAAACAGTTGGCTCCGAAAGGGGAAGTATTTTGCCCAAGGTCAAGAAGCTGTCTTTGCACAGTCGGGCAACCAGGAAGTATGTACCACAACTCTCCGCTGAAGGCTTCACCATCCCCTGGAACCGGATATAGCGGACAGGTTGAGAGTTAACAGACCTGAAGTACCGGGGCTGACTTTGCTTGAGTTTATTCATTTGTACAGGAAATGTTTGTTGACCCGTGTGTGTCAGGATATAGTGGTGCCCAAGGACTCCCTAGGTCAATGGTGACGAACCCTTTAGAGACCGAGTGCCCAAACTGCAACCCCAAACCCACTTATTTATCACAAAGTGCCAACACTGCAATTAGACCCAAACGCTGAGGTTTTAGTTTAGGGAAAACAACTGTTACCTGATGCTCAGCTGCCGGAGGCGACTTGGTTTGTGTGCCAGTGGAGAGCTCTGGGTGCCCACTGGGGCATGTGTGCCATAGGTTCACCAACAGCCTAGGTCCTGCCTCCCACACAGCTCAGTCTACCAGGCAACACAGTGAGCAACTAAGTAAAGAAATTAGTCAGCCTCAGTAGCCCTCTTGGTCATACCCTACGAGTCCCAGGTTCCTTCAGTTGGTACGTTGTGGCATAGCCCTTGCCCCTATATGTGTCTGGTGCTTAATAAGTGCTCAAGAAAATCCTGCTAAACAAATGACTCCCTCCTCCTGCCCCTTAGACACATCTGACCTCTTGGGGATGGAAGGCCTTGAGACCAGGCCACTCACAATGGTCCTGGCAGGGTGTGGAAGAGTCAACAAAAAACCCAGCCCCCAACCTAGAGAAGGTGACGGAGATCAAATGTCCATCTTGCCTGCTCAGCTCTGGGCCCTGGCATCCTTGAAAGCCTGGCTAACTTTCAAGTTGATGACAGGTGTTGTCAGAGCTGTTCTGGAAGCAATGGGTAAGGTCTGAAGAATGCGGTGTGCTCAGAGACTTGCTGTTCTGCTGTCCTTTGGAGATGATGCTTTCCCTGCAAGAATCAGATGCAAGTCGTGAGTCCCATTTATTTAGAGCCAGGCCTGTGATCCCAGCACTCTGGGAGGCTGAGGCAGGAGGGTCGCTGAGTTTGAGGCCAGCCTGGGCTACATAGTAACACTGTCTCAAAACAAACAACCAAATGTAGTGGCATTGTAAGGGCAGGTTCAGATTTGTCCCTTGGGGAAGAGTGGGAATTAAGCCAGCACACCCAGGTATTCTGAGTTATCAGATGACTTAGCGGCCTGGGCAAGTCCCTTCTCCAACTCTCCATTTTCTCATTGGCTCAATAGCAGTGTACACAGTCAGGTACTGAAGTCCGCCCAACCCCCAAACACTTTATCATGAAAATTTTTAACATGCAAGAGGCAGAAGAAATACAGCCAACAGCTAAACACCCACCGCCTGGTTGGACATCAGTGGACAGCTTGCCCATACCACACTCCCGTGCACCTCTCTGCTAAATCTTATTTTTTGGCGTTTCAAAATGGCAGCTATTGGTGGACCCCCCCCAACAAGAACCAGGCAGTCATAACTCTTCACTCAAATGAATGCTCTGATTACCACAACAGCCCCCTTGCCCAGGCACTGGTTTCAAACTCTACCCTTGCCGGGCATGATGGTGCACACCTGTCATCCCAGCACTTGGATTTGGGAAGCTGAGGCAGGAGGATCACCATGAGTTTGAGGCCAGCCTGGGCTATGTCTCAAAAAACAAAATAAAGCATTCTATTTTGTGAAGGAGAAACTGAGGCTTAGAGAAGATCACATAGTAGGGATTGATTCAGGTTCAGCTGTGTCTCCAGAGTCTAGATTTTAAGAGAGGCTGGGGTAGGACAAGAGGTACTAGAACAAAGCAGAAACTTAAGACTGGATACCTCTGTCTTGCCTTCATCGCAGATGCTGCGTGACTGCGCCCACCAAGGCTGCTGGCAAAGGGTCCTCACCTGCCAGTTTCAGACTGAATCTCACACAGGTCATCGTCCCAACACAGGGCTGAAGGCTGGGCAGGTGAAGGACACCTCACAAATGTTTAAGGGTCCAAGAGAGATTGCAGTGAAGGAAATTATTTCTCTTCAAGCCTAGATGTGGGCTTTATCATTGGGCTAGGATTATGACAACCCTAACAGGAAGTGTGGATTTTGGAACTGCTCTCAACATGAAAAGGGATAGGAGATGCTTTTATTTGCTGTGGGGTCCAGCACATTAGAGAACTGTTCTTTCCTAAAGCCTAATGCCCTTTTCCATGCCACACACTGGCTCCCAGTTCTTCTCCTCCCAACCCTGCAGCCCAGAAATCTCTTCTGGCCACCCATAAGCCGCATTTCCTACCCAATTTTCTAGAGCTAATGCCTCCTTCACCTCTACCTGAGCCTGCACCTCCTACCCAACCCAGCAGGCGCTGGTCAGTATCAGAATGATGCCACCTCTATGGAAAGTATTTTTTTCGGTTCTCTTTTTATGAAGTGGCCGCTGCTTCAGTTGCGGCTCCTCCCTCGCCCTGGCCATGGTACAGTTGCAAACTTTGTCAATTCAAGTTGTTCCTCTATCTGGGAGGATGCAGGTGTCATGTGAAGTTTTAATTTTCAGTTAAACAGCACACTCGTCTCGTGCTTTTTTTTTCCGCATGCGTTCAGCACTTCAAAAACAGACGGAAATAAACGAAAAGCCTGGCCCCGTCCTAAAATACTCCTAACAGCGCCACCCTCCCCACACAGCCCCGGTTCATTAAATAAAGTTAAAGGGAGATTTCCATCAAAGATCTATCTGGGAGCTGGGTTTCAGTCGCCCTGCAGAGGAAGATGAGGGGAGGGCACTGATTCCGGAGCGATCTCTGCCCTCTGGCCGCGCCCTTTCAATGTGGCTGGAAGAGCTACGTGCACAGCTCAGTCTTCCGATCCAGAGCGCAGGGCCTACGAACTGTGACAAAATCAGGCAGCTGCGAGCCCAGCCCGGTCTCGGGTCCTCAGGAGGCAAGTGCGAGGGGCGGAGCCGATCGCCTATTGGCCCCCGCTTGGAGGCGTGGCTACAACAACGCCCCGCCCCCAACCCGCCACCGGGATAAACAGGGCTGGTGCCAGGCCGCGAGAATTATTCATCGGGGGGCGGGGTCTGGGTTTGTTTACACTCTGCCATTGGTTGGATTTGAATCGGGAGGCCTGCGGGTGGGCCTCTGGGGGGTGGTTGTGGAGAGTGACAGGTTTGAGGAGGCAGGGCCACGCCGGACGCGTGCAACCCTGGAGATGGAGGTACCCTTGGCCTTGGAGCGGGGTGGGGCTTTCGCCCATTTCCTGATAAAAGTTAAGGAAGGTGGGAGGGTGAGTAGCATTGTTTTTGTTTTTCATAAAAATTCGGAAAGAATTGGTATGGTGGCACGGGTCTGTTATCCCAGCACTCGGAAGGCTGAGGCAGGAAGATCACCTCGAGGCCATGCTGGGGCTACGCAGTGAGTTCAAGGGCAGCCTGAATTACGTAGCGAGACCTCATCTCAAAAAACAAAAAACAAAGGGCCAAAACAACCTAGTTGTCCATCAATAGGGAACTCAAAATAATCTATGGTCTAATCCACAGAGGGACAGAAAGTAGCTGTAAAATGAGGATACCAGACAGGAACTGATGCAGAATGAACTATGTATCCAGTTGAGGAGGGCGGCAAAGAAGGGACCAATGTCTAAAAAGTAGGATTTAAAAAATGCCAGACTGTAGAAATCAGTGTGGAGATTCCTTAAGAAACTAAAACTAGAGTTTCCATTTGACCCAGCTATTCCCTTTCTTGGTATCTTCCTGAAAAAAATTAAAAGCATCCTACCGCAGTGGTATATGTACGCCCATGCTTAGAGCAGCACAGTTTGTAGCCGCTAAATCTTGGAAACAGCCCAAATGCCCATCAACCAATGAACGGATAAAGATGTGGTTTCCATACAAAGGAGTACTATTCTGTCGTAAAGAAGGATAAGCCTGAGACATTTCTAGCTAGATGGATGCAACTTGAAACCATACTCTTAGGTGAAATAAATCAGACACACATGTGTAAATACCTCATTGTTTTTCTGGTGTGAGAAACCAAAAATGTAAATAAGGACCAAAATGTATAAACGATAGGGGGAAATGGGAAGAAAATGTT